ACCTACCTACCTACCCCTACCTACCTACACCTACCTACCTACCTACCTACCTACCTACCTACCTACCTACCTACCTACCTACCTACCTACCTACCTACCTGGGTTCCTTTCATGTCATGAACAGGTCTACACAAGCTTCGGTCCAGACCGCACTTGGCAGAAGCTTGGCACATTCAGAGGAGCTGATTTCAGGATTTGGTGTCGAGCTGCTTGTATAATAACGGTTTAGGGTTTAGGGACTATATCACTAAATTAGAACTTGGAACTTGAATGTAGCATTTTTCCTGTTGGAGGGTTCAGGGTCTATTTTGCGGCGTGTCCGTGGGGCAGCATGCCGCGGCTCGCACGCAAGAGTTGAGGCCGACAGATCCCACAAACCCGAAATCGCTCAACTTTGAACTTTTAAACCCCTACATCCTATCTTTTAGGCGTGAAGAGAGAAGAAGAGATCCACACAAGCCAACTTTAATGATTACATTAATCTCTATATTATTCACAAAAACTGCTAAATCCAATCTTCTCCTGGAGTTTTAAATATACACACAACCTTTACAGAACCCTTGCAGGGTCTTGCAAGGTGCCCAAAATCCGACAGCAGAACTTTTTTCGGTACCCCTTTGGAACTTTGGGTTAGTGGGTTTAGGGTTTAGGGGTTTAGAGGCTTTGGGTTTAGGGTTTGGGGTGTAGGGGTTTAGGGATTTAGGGGTTTAGGGTTTAGTGTTTCGGGTTTAAGGTTCCCGCAAAGTACCCCGACAGAGCCAAGGGATCGTTCGACCTTGGCACCGTCGTCAATGTTGATGATCTTCGATGTCGGCTGGACAGGTGCCGCCCATGATTAGGGTTTAGGGTTTAGGGTTTAGGGCCCGCGGGGAAGTTTTTGCATTGGCTGCTAGAGGGCTCTGTGGGAGGTTGACAGGGCTCTATGGGATCTTCTAAATACCGTAAAGAGTTGTGCAGGGATGTCACGCGCCACTATTTCCTAAACCTTAAACCCCGCCCGTGGGAATTCTGTGTATGGGTGCTGAAGGGTTCTGTGGGAGGTACAGGGCTTCAGGGCCCCCGCCGTAAAGGGTTGCGCAGGCGCGTCCATGGTTTGTAGCGTTTTGGCTTTAGGGCTTGGGCTTCTTGATTTTTCGGGGCATTGGTCGTTTGGTTTTGTTGGGACTTCCGGGGTTGGTCTAAAGGTGTTCCTTTTCGGGGCTTTTGGGTTTAGGGTTTGTTTAGGGTTTAGGGTTTAGGCTTCGGTTTAGGGGTTTAAGGTTTTGGGGTTCAGTTTAGGGTTTAGGGTTTAGTTTAGGGTTTAGTTTAGGGTTTAGGGTTTAGGGTTTAGGGTTTAGGGTTTAGGGTTTAGGGTTTGGTTTAGTGTCTGGGCTCGGGTGGGAGATGCGGAGTTGTAGGCGTTGACCGGTTTTCGCCAGGTCTCAGACCAATATACCCAGACCTTTTGTGAGGATCTGAAAAAAAAACCCTAAAGTTTAGGGTTTAGGGTTTTAGGGTTTAGGGCTTTGAGCTTTAGGGTTTAGGGTTTTAGG